GCTGCTGCTGCCGCTGCTGTGCTCGGCCGCGCTGGCGCTTGGAAAGACCTGATGGAGGTGAGAGAGCCTCTGCCGCGGCCTCTGCTGTGGCGCCGGCGCCTTTGCCGCCGCCGCCGCCACCGCCGCCACCGCCGCCGCCACCGCCGCCATCACTCCCTCCGCCGCCACCACTCCCTCCGCCGCCACTTCCACCGCCGCCGCTGCCGCGGAGCTTGGCGGCATTGGTGTTTTCGTGAAACTCGAAGATGAGCCAGACGTGCGAGAAGCCTTCGAGGCCCTCGAGCGCCGCCGCGGGCTGCACCGCGTGCGGGTCTAGCCGCAGTCGCGCCCGAGCATCCGGCACGAGCAGGCCTTGGCGCGGCGTGCCGCGCCTCTCCACAAAACACGACTCTATGTGGCCGATTGGCCGGTAGCCGCACGTCGCAGGGTTGACCACGGACGCTGCTCGCCGCAGCCGCCGCTCTGCCACGGTCCTCCCGGCACGCTCTGCTGCCCTCAGCGACTGCTGCGTGGCGATCTCATGCCTGAGCGCCGCGCACAGGCGGTAGAGCCGCCTCGCCTCGGCGATGGCCGCGAGTAGCGCAGCAGCGGTGAGCGTGAGCGCCAGGCGCCGCAGCATACAACATATATGTGTGTGTATGTGCTTTCACACTGTCCCGCGCCGAGGCGCGCAACGAGGCTGCTGAAAAAGAGAATTGCTATCCCCGGTGTTGTTTTTGTTTTTCCGCGCCGAGGCCGTAAGAGAATTCGAGTACGGAAGCCGCGAGAGCAAGGGATAGGCAGGTGGCGGCGTCGTCACAGAACGAAGGAAAGGAAACGATGAGGCAGAGGACGTCACAGAACGAACGAAAGGAAACGATGAGGCAGAGGACGACGGGGCATGCGAGAGAGAACGACGAGGGACGACCGCGAGGTGGCATGAAGGTTTGCGAGAATTGGCGAGAATTTTTTTCGTGGAGCAAACACCGCGAACAACGTGCGTCCCATTTCCCGCCACCCACAACTCTCAGCGACATCCACGCCGCGCACCTCCTCACAGAATCGATCGTGGTCCGCCGATGAGGCTGCGGCCCAGCATCCTTGGGGCGACCCAGATTGACGGCGAGAGTCTGAATGACGTGACTGACCTCTGCGACGGCCTCCGCGCTGTTCACGTCACGGCGCCAAGCATCGCATTTGTGGTCAACGACTTCAACCCGTCGCCTAGGCAAGCACGCTCGCT